CGTTTGGTAGCCATCATATCGCGGAACTGCTTCCTGATCTCTGGCAATACAGCAAATAATTCTCATATGGGGATACTGAGGCTCATGTTGAATAAGCACTCGATAACACACTTGTCTGCTTCCTTGTCTTCTAATGCATGCGAATATCTACATTGCATGGTTGATGTGGTGACGGGCATGTCAGCAGAGGGTTTGGACGTTTCTGTTGGTGTTGCGGTGACTGATGGTTTCAGTGGCGCCTTACTAGATGGAGCGACCGGCGGCAGCATGGTGATGGTCTTTGGTGGTTTGGCCGCTTTTCCTTTACCTTTGCTCGACATAGCTTAAACTTCTGGAGATACAATCTCTTCGGTTGCAGCTATTTGTTGGGATGCAGGGCCAGGGCGCGCACGTGTCTCCCTCATTACTTCAATTCTGTCAAAGCGGACTGTCTTCCCTCTGGTGTCATCTTTAGTGTTTCCACGCTTTAGATCTTGCTGGGGCATTGCTAGTGCCAGTGCTTGTGCGGCACGTGCCACGTTCAGATCTTCTTCATCCTCCTTGGGCTCAGATTTGGCGATGGTATGAATGAATGCAGATGAGTCGACATCTACGACCACTTCTGCCCCTGGCATTGTGTGGTAAAACATATTTGCACTGATGCTTGCACCCGGCAGTACCTCATTAGCCTGCAGGCTACTATGATACTGATTGAGATGGTCCTTGAGTGTGCCGTCACTTTGTCGGCCAGGAATCCAATTGCCATTGGGAAGTACCAGCTTATTAATGGTGACGTCAAACTTACATTTGCTGGCCGCGATGTATTGGTTGCACTCACAACATCTTCCCATGAAATGGTCAGAGCCACCACAGAATATGCAACTGCTAGGGCCGAAATTTCCGCCATGCCTGGTGAAGTATTCCTACTTGACCACAACATTTGGTGATGCTTGTTGCTGTACTGGTGCGGCCGCTTGCTGGACTGGCACCACCGGCGATGCGGTTGGTGCATATGGTGATCCTATTACCAGCGTGTTAGATGGTATCATACTGGTCACTCCGATACCCGGCAGTAAGAATGTCGCGGCTGTAATGACATCGTTAAATGGGTATGGGTCTCGCGGGTGATGATCAGGGAAATTTGATCATTAAGCGCGTAAGTGTTTGCGCCTGGATGTCGCTCGGGAAACCATCTATGAAAATGCGGTCATGTTCCGCCTTACCTATGCAATCCTTCTCAATCAGCGCTCGTGCGACTTTAAGGAATGCATGCTGATAATCGCCCAGCTCTTTCACCGAGCGCATTGGTATGTTCTTCTGGTTGCGTGCGATTGCAACCAGGTCATCAATGGCATATCGCCAACCGCCTTCACAACCGGGATACATTGTTTTTACCTCTTTGATATATGCGCAGTAATCACCGCTTTTGGCTTCGGGCATTTCTGCCCATAGCTCTTGTTTGCTCATTGGCAGGTAGCGAATTATACCTTTGATGCGATCACCATGTGTGAGACCTGCCTCATCGGCAAGGACCTCATAATTGTCAATGAAGGCAAGTAGGTTTTCGGTAGTGCCGTCGAAATTCGGCGCACCTTCTGTGCCATGGATTGGCATTCTAAAGGCGGGAGCAGCGGACATGGTAGGTTGCGGGGCGGTTGGAGGAGATTGGTAGACGGGTTGTTGGATGAGAGGTGATGGGCCATGTGAGAATATAGCGATGGCCATGCGGATTGAGTTAGGTGTGGGTGGTACTGGAAGCACAAGATGCGGACAGGGTGATGGAGCGGCAGTGGCAGTTGTTGGGATGCTTGGAAATTCTCTGTCTAAATCGCTAAGGGATGTCAGTGTGCTTATGTTTTCAATGTTATGATTGCTTGGGAGCGCCGGCTGTTCTGGTGTTGCACAGAAGGTGCCGTGTAGGAAGCTTCTAGGGTTATCTAGTGCTTCTAAGTCGTTGGACAATTCGCCTTGTACTGAATCCTTTGATGAAGGCGTGACTGGTGATGCAGGCACGTGGTTGCATGCTACAAATAGGTTCGGGTCGGGGCGGGTCAGCTTGGAAATGTTGCATGGGCAGTGCTTATTCTGTGGCGTGAAGAGTTCTTTAATCGGCATTAGCTGCGTGTCCAGAAAGGTGCAGTTGAAACTATCAATCGCTTCTTGGCACGCGGTGCGTTCCTTCATAGGTCTCAACTGCCTACTAGCTTTCTCAGATGATCCCCTCATGGTGGGCTCCAGTTGTGTGCAAGGAATGATAGCTAGATGAGAAGGGGTGAAAGGGGAAGAAAGGGTGAAGTGGGGTAAAACTCAAATAGACCTCTGGATGCAAGTATATGATTTGGCCCAAGGGGATTGCTACTGAGAATGATTCCTCTATGTAAAAAGTGGAGGGAAATCACTGAAACTAATAAGGGTGTTTGAGAATGGATGGAACACGAATGCGAGCACAATGCAATGCGAGCATGAGCGAGCCGCCATTGACGTGGCATGAAGTGAGGTTGAGTGGCCGAAGATACGTTAACATGTGATAAAGCGCGGTGTCATATCCCATATTCCGGATCTACATCCGATAATATTCCCACGCCTCATCCGGACCTTCGGATGTGCTATCCATGTCTCCAGTACCCATCCAGATCCCTGCACCTCTGCACATCCACATCCGCATGTCCACATCCAGATCCCTTATCCTTCGCAGCTAGCCTGCATCATTCATCCTTGTCCCATCGCCCTAATGCCACATCCTATATATCCACACATCTCATCTGGACCATATCCGATCCGGTCCGATCCAATGTATAGATCCGCTTCCGATCCGATATAGATAAGCTTCCTAATTCATTTCCTGTTCTTATAATGTTATATACAGCCTATTCGGTATTTCCTCTATTCCGCTGTTTCAGTTATATCTATTACCGGTATGCTTACTGATCCATTAACCTATGTTCATTTCCGACTCGCATTTGTTAACCTTTGCATATGCTTCATACATAGCCTCAGACTCTGCTTATTGATCCTTCCGTTATTTCTCTTAGTATATAAACTCGTGTATGTCTTGTAGTACCTCAGTCTGAATATCATATTAGTCCTTGCACTAGTCTTCACTCTAAGTCCTCATATCAGTTCTAGTCTTCCAACTTAGTTGTTATCCATCTCAGGCCTAGGGAGTTTCTCCCTAGGCCGGAGCTCTGCTTATCCGATACTCTGCTCATCCGATCCTCCGTAGTTTCCGGAAGTTCATCCGGATCTTTCCCACGGTCCTCCGGACCTATTCTGCTTCGGACTTTGTCCTTGCAGCCTTTCCTCTGTTTACTTCTACTCAGGACAAGTCCCGAGTAGCCATTATACATATCTGTATCAGGACGAAACCTCATCGTAATTTCCGGAAGTTCCTCCAGAACTTTCCCACACTCATCCGGAAGTTACTTGCACCCGTCCGGAAAGTCCTTCCAAAGTTTCCCGCGCCTTCGGATGTCCTTCGGACATCTTCGGACTTTCCTTGGACGCCAATCTGAAATTAAGGGCACATACTCGGGTAAGGGGCGCAGCGCACGAGCTGAAGCCAAGCCCCTCAGAATCAGTCCTACCCTTTGTGCATGGTCTTAACACGCGGCCATGCGGAAAAGATATGCGGGTGCCGCAAAGTGTTACAATGAAGCGGCCGAGCGGCAAAGTGACAAGGATGGCGGATTTGTAAGTAGCGCAAAGACTACTGAAGCAAGGAACTGATGGAATAATGTGAAAGGCCGATAGATACACGCTGTAGAAACAACAATACTGCGAGGTGCAAATGAGGCTCCTGACTGTATCTGTAAATGTTGTAAGGTTGCGCATTGCCTAGTCTGCTATACTTGAGAAGACAAGTGCATTCGACCCTAAAGGGGAAGCGAGTGCAGCAAGGATCTAGTGATATGTGCTGAAGGCGCTACTGATTGGCCAATGCAAAGCACAAGAAAGTGCACAGGTGCGCGCAAGGCACAAAGGCGCAGGAACGTGTGTGTGTGCTGCGCGAAGCGTGGGAAAGTGTGCGCATGTATGCGGAGATGAGAAAGAGTAAGAATAAGCTTGCTTAAGTGATGATATGATGTAAGACAAGAGAAGAGAGATGCAAAGTGTAGACAAATAGATTTCTACTATGTTCTACTAAGTAGTAAGTGGGTAGTAACTAGTAAGTGAGTGCAAAAGTGAAGTGAGCTCCCTCATAGTATGTACTGCTGGCGCTTATATAGCGCGCCTAAGTGCTGTCATGCGGAGCTGAAGCACTACCGAGTAAGGTATATAAAGATATATATGAGTGAGAGTCCATGATTAAAATAAAGGTGGAACGATATGCTAATAAGAGCAATGGAAATAAACGCACTAGAGGGCTTGGTGGACAGTGGATGGATGCTTCTGGATGGCTGGCACTATAGGGCGCTCAAGCGCAGGAACGCACGCGCGTGTATACATCGCAAAGCGTGGGAATGGTGCGCGCATTGCACGGGAAAGCTGCGCCTCATATAGGAATAGCTGTGGATAGCACACAGAGTGATGCTGCAAGTTCGTGCAATGAACTCCCTAGTGAAAGGTGCCATTTCACACCATGAGAGGCATGAGTCTCTACAGCACAGCGGTTGATATGAAGTTTAGACTTTAGGTTCGGATGGTAATGCGTGCAAGTGGATGATAGATTCTATATGGGAGGTCCGAGATACATGAAATTTGTAAGTACAAGTATATATGAGGATGCGCTGAAGTGCTGTTCGGAGCCGAGTAGGTAGTGGCTGTAGGTAATAAGGGTCCATGACGAAAGTAATAGCGATATAAACAAATTAGCGTCGGAAATATGGTCAGTCTATTCCAAAACAAGTGAAATATGCACTGATAGACCAGCAGAGGACATGGATAGGACAGGATAAGGACACGCGGCGGAGCCGAGTAAAAGCCGTTATGGCCCGATACACATGCACGAGCCACGGCCATCGGCCAATAGCAGAAAAGATGCGTACAATGTGAGGACCTATGGGACAACACAAAAATAGCCTTTACAAGGCCACAAGGACTATAAGTCCTACACCGTCTTGCTCATGTTCTAGGTTGTTGTGATCAGAGTCCAAGGTAAGACCTTGAACAACCCACTGACCACAGGTAACAGTAGTCAACAGATGACAGATGATGTTGTCACTGCATGCAAATATATCTGCGCAATTAGGGCAAGTAAACACATATCTATCATTACTAGTAATCATAAGGGAACATGCAAAGGAGGCGAGGATGTCATGCTGGCTTCAAGCGATCGATGGGATTTTGCTGCTGTGACTTACTCTAGAGTTGACGAAAACCTTTATAAATCTACCTGATCCCTGGGCCAAGTCCAATTTGACTGTCCTCTTGGTATCAAGTTGGCAGGTAATGAGTCATACATAGGCTCACCTACTAACAGCCAACTGTCCTCCTACTAAACAGTCTATTGCTCTGCTGGCATTGTCGTCACGCATAACAAACATATTGGGATTACTGTGAATGAGAACTGTGATGGCTTACTTCTAAGGGTCTTGTCCTCTCTGCATTGCTGTTGTGCATAGTAAGTATAGTCAGAAGCTGTCAAGAACCACGATAACTTACTAGTAGTGCTTACCTCCCTTGAAGGCTCTTAAAACAGTGAGTAGCATCAGAGTTGCCGCTGGACTTTGCACAAATTCTTGCAATGATCCATGTGAGAATTTTCTGTTTTGTTGATTCAGTCATCAGCAAGCTTGAACTGTGACATTATTATTAATGCCTTGCATAAGTGGCACCAGCAGCTCATTTGCATCAGCGAGGACCTCTAATAATCTGAGGTCAGTTTTTTGAATGTCATATCATTTTCCATGACCAGATATTCACTAACTGTGCACTGCAGTGTTTCATCACCACCTACGTCTAGGCACCAAATGACTCACCTGTATTCAAGAATGGCTCTTCCACCTTGAGCAAGACCTCCCCAGTAACCCCAAGCAAATCAAGGTATGTTCAATAGATGACAATTGTTTATAGTGAACTGTTGATTGCTATTCTCTCAGAGCCACCAAATTACCTAGCTACCCTATACTACTGAGGAACAGTTCTCCAATCCTGAGAAGTAGCTCTTCTGACTTGGAGAGTAGCCCTATCCAGAGGGTCAGCTCCCCCGTCCCAAGTAGTACCTCCCCCGTCCCAAGGAGTAGCTCCCCTGATCCAAATAGTAGCTCTCCCATCCAAGGGAGTACCTCTCCCATTCTGCAGAGTGTATCCTTCAAGAGAAGTAACTCGCACACCTCCAGTGCTTCCCCCTTCATAACTACTGTACCCAGTGAGAGTGACCCCACACCAGCCACCAAACACAGTCCTTTCAAATGTGCACATCAATATCACTTAGTCGATAATAATGAAGAAGATGAGGATAATTGGTGCTCTCCTACTAAAAAGCCTAAGATGCTATTCACATCAGCAAGTTACCCTCACTTGAATGGAGTGCAAAGCTCAAAAAACTCTTAATTCACCTGTAAATGCCCCCCTGACGCCACAGTCTATTTCACAGAACACATGCTAGAGCTTTCCTGTGTCAGTAGCTGGACCTTTGCCGCAAAGGTGGAGTATCAGCACCTACATGCCGAAGAACTAGAACTAATAACGGCCATTGTACAAGATGAACTGGAAGAATCCAAGAGCCATGTGACTAAAGCTGATCTGCAAATCGGCTCACTCCATAATGATCTTTACAATGCAGGTGTGTCAGTGATAGGAAGCAGAGGGAGACCTGGGAATCATACACCAAAGGAGGTCGAAATTAGCAGGTTGTTCCCCAATCATGGTGACTGTGAGGCTGATGACAGCAGTGACTCCTGCGATACTTCACATGACATTATTTCCGAGCCATTTGAATGCGATAGTGGTATTTGATACTGCAGGAGTCACTTCACATGTGACCACTAAATCAGCTCTTCCATTCAATTCCCTGATTATGTCCTGACTGTTTATAGAGTACATTTACATACATACATATATATGTAGTCTTGTGTAGTGCTGTGAGGCAGTACAACTATGTTATTCATTTGCTGTAGCAAAATTTCTGGGGTGACTCCTATCGAATCTAGAAGCGGCAAGCTGAAACAGCAGCAAGTCTTATGACTAATAAGGTATACTGCCACCTTTTGGATCAATTCATGACCCACTGTATAATAATGTGAGCGATGAGTGATTCAAATGCTCCATCCCCCTCTTTTCTCTCAGTTCTTTGCTATGCCTTACAGCCATAGTTCAGGCCATGGGCATGGACACAGTGCATCTATGGTGCAGGTTGCCATCCCAAATATTGCACAATAATCCCTCCCTCCCTTCCAGCCAGTTCCATTCCAACCCAACCCAAGTAATACCATGGAGCGCCTCACATCTGCCACCACAATGATAGAGGTACTATTTCCTCTTTTTTTTTCTCATTTTGATACCAATTTGACTATTCTAAGACACCTGGTAATCCTACCGATACTCTACTAGAACACCAATCCCGTTGATGATCCTCACATTTGCCATCTCAGGAACATTTACAGCCTTATTCAATCCTGTCATTGTGCACCGACAGTCATTGTGCATCAAGAGTGTCAGCAAGTGTCTATCTCGATGATGAGCACCCAGAACGCACTAGGCAGGGCTCCAAGCTGGAGCTCAAACCTATGGATATGAAGTTTTACAGCAAGGCAGATCAAAAAAATACTGAGCACACTCATAAACTCATCATCCTGGACATGCTGCTGGAGAGTGGGTGGCAGAAAACAAGCAAACTTGAACAAGTTGCTGCAGAGTGCATTTTGCAAGCATCTGCCGTGTCTGGTCACAGTACGTCTATTCTCTGGCACTCCCTGCCTATCAGTACTTACTCCTACCCCATCACATAGTCACTGAGCATGTGGAAGGCATCAACAAACTTATTTTCGACGGACTATTGAGTATCAGAGGGAAACTTGTGAATGAAGCAGAACAAGTCCTCTCAAACCTAAATATTTACCCACCTGACGACAGCAGGATGACCAATGATGAGAAAAAGGAACATATCAGACAGCACGCGGCCGATTTACTTGACAACAAGAACATTTTGGAATATGCCCTTCACAGCTATGACTCTGACAGGGGAAAAACCCTTGTTTATTCAGCACCTGCCTTCCTTGACCTACACGAAGATTTTTGGTTTGGTCAAAATTCACCATTCCTCGACCCGCAGTCAAGAGCACTGATCTCATGCATATCGTGGCACATGTATACACTGATGGGTGCTGCAGTACGTGAAATTGTTTGATTTCATTGACTTTGACTAATATTGACTAGATAATGTGTGTTGTTCATCGTGCATTGGAAGGTCAATTCTTGGGGAGTGGCAGAAAAATATTCCAATTCACTATGGAAAATTTTTCAGGGGCCGCAGGAGGAATTCGCCAAGCCATGATGCAATATGTGGCTAATCCCAAGTTAGATGAGTATGAGTTTATGCCCTACATGCAGGCACACCATACCATGATAAACACTTGTGAGTATTTGCCGCACACTCATATCATGTACTGACCTCTTTTTTCAGATGAAAACTATGAACTCACATGGGAGAAATGTCCCCAATGAAAAATACCATGAACTACATCGCTTCTTCAACCACTGAGTTATACTGGCGCCCACGAGTGCCAATGTCCACCTCCTTGAGTTCGCTAGCATCACCCACTTTTGATTATCATCCCGCTCCATTTGCATCTTTGTCATCTTTGTCAGCCACTTCATGGCAACCATGTCAAGATGAGCATGATTCTGCGGTTGCCAACTCACCAATGACGGCACCATTCCAACACTACTCAGTGTCACATTACTTGAGTTCCGGGCAGCATGGTCTTGCAGATGCAAGTGGTTCACCAGCACTGCCATACCATTCACCTTCTGATCTCTATGGATTCAACATCAACTTGAATCAGTATTTAACTGGAGGCTCAAGTTGGGATAGGGCACCTAGTACAGGAGGCTGGGGTGGCCCCATGGCATGATACTTTTTCGCACATTGTAGCTTGAATACTCACTATTTTGTTGCTGTTTTATACATGGTACTAGTAGTAGATCATCTTATCATGCTTGTCAATCCTATCTAAGTGTTTGATGGACTCAATCGATTTGATTGAATGGAACAAGCTCGGCCAAGCAAATCTCAAAATTAGCTTTAACTTCAAATGGTTTAGATTGGTTGGCTACTACGTGCTACCTGAGCTACTGTAGCACTCGACAATTAATGTAGTGGAGTTTTGTTATTGCACTTCCCCTTGCTATGAAGCACTGTATGGTTCAAAACATTCTACTGATGTACCTCATCATGCCTAATGCAAGAGGTAGCTGTGTTTGTTGTGGCCATGGTCATAGTAGCATGGTCAACCTTCCAAATGGTGCCCTTCAGATGACCTTTCAGGTCTGCAATCAATATATTGGTGAAGGTTAGTTACATGATGCCCAGTGAGCTACATCAATTCTCACTGAATATTTTTCAGACTTTACTGTGGCAATAGCTGCAGTTCCAGAAACCCCCAGGCCTCTACAGCAACTTGTGGTTCCATCAATTGATCCTTCCATTCAGCCTCTTGTTTTCACAGAATGTCATGTGGCTGGTGGGAATGAGCTTCCATCTTGTCAGTGTCGCACTGAAACATTTGCTAATCTGCCAGGCATCGAGATTCAGAGAGGTTTGAGTGATGGAACTCCTCCTTTGTCGCCTGCTGTCATCCCTACAACTCCTGTGCATACTGCTGCAACACAGAGAGCTCCTGCAACCCCTCAGTCCATACACCATGTAAGGGCAATGTCATCAGGCCTTATTCCACATGCTGGCCATCATAGTCACAAACATCACAAATTAACCTCAACAAGCAAGCGAGCTAGTGATGTCTGGACTTTCTATTAACATACATCAGAGAAGAATGAGTGTATATTCTGTGAGTAAGTTGATGCAGGGCTTTGAGCTATGAGACTGATGACATATGTTTATTGTAGATGACTCAAAGCGGCTGGCCAACTTTGAGCAGAACAACATGCTTCGTACAGCCCCACAACTATAACAAGGGTCCTCCATCGCCATCTATTTGAAATTCATGCTGACATGTGGATTTCTGCCTGTGATCAACTTAAGATTGTGATAATAACAAAGGGTGCTCAGCCAGCCATTAGCTTATACTGACAGCGTCATTCAGGGACCAGTGGACCTGCTAACAACAACATTCCACATGCAGCATTTTAACCAGCAACATTTGTTGATGCCATATTGGAGTTTGTCGTTGGTGACAATCTTGTAAGTTCATTTCACTAGTCGTCTATGTGGTTGACCTATCATCATTTTCGCACTTGATAGTCACTAAATGTCATTGAGAGTCCACGTTTGCGAGCCATCTTTTTGATGCTGCATGAAGAGTTAAATGACTTGGACATTCCACATCACACCACACTGAAGAACTGTCTCGTAGAATAAATATCTGGATGTATTAGCATTGGAAATGGCAGTATGTTTCTCACTTCCTGTTTAGCCCACATTCTCAGTGTTGTCCAGGGTTCTCTTGGCAAGATCTCATTGACAATGGACCTGTGGTCTGACATCAACCTCACACCTTTCATGGCCGCTACTGCTCACTGGATCCAAGCAGTCAAGAATAATGAGCTAGATGGTACTGTGAAACATGCACTGAGATTACATGCTGACTTTATTGGATTTCACTGTATGCCTGGTCATCATAATGGGAAGCATATGTCGCAAATTTCCTAAAGTGGTTGCAATGAGGTATTCTTGAAACAAATTTGCAAGGAATCTTGCTATATTTCAATATATTGCAACAATATGGCAACCAAATTGCAATGTGCCATACCATTGCAAGGCCCATTGCAATCTGTTGCAATGCCATTTTAACTACATTTCTATGGCAATTTTAAGTACGACTCTATTATTTAAACCCATTTCAAAGGCCATTTTGCCTTTGAACCTTGAAATGCCTTACAAGGCATTGAAATTTAAATTAGGAATTTCTGATATATTGCCTATGCATTTCTGTGTGTGTTGGATCGTGTTGAGATAGCTGACAAGGTTTGTTTTCAATATTATCTGAGCTAGTGACATGTTTATCATCATGCTCTTTATATAGATTGGGTGGATCACTATGGACAATGCAGCAAATAATGACACCTTCATGATTCACCTAGAGTGTGAACTTACCCACTGCAATATTATGTTTGATCGAAGGCTACATCATATCCGGTAGGAGGTCAGAAGTTCACTAATAATGCTTGATTACTCATGCTTGGTCATTACAGATGTTTTCCCCATATTGTCAACTTAGCTTGCAAGGCTGTACTTGGGACAATTACAAACCTCAACTTTGCTAGTCAAGATGCACCAGATTTTATTCCTAGTGCTCCCCCAGGCCCTCATGCTGAAGTGCAGAGTTTCATGGATGCCATTGATCATAATCCTATTGCTACAGTTCGAACTGTTGTTTGTGTTGTAAGTCCTATTCTAATTATATTTGATGACTAAAGGTCAAATTTATGCAGATTTGAGCATCATCTCTCCATCGTCAGTATTTTACAAGCATCCTTAATGCTCTAAAGCAAAAGGACCTTCAATTACTTCGAGACATTGATGTTTATTGGTCATCAACCTTACTAATGGCTGAACATGCAATTGTGTTGCGTGAAGTAAGTATCTACATGTGTCTTCTAAGGAATGCTCTTTAAGTCCAAGTTGTGGTTATTAGGGAATTGATAGATTTCTGTTAAGTGACAGCTTTCCTAAGCTCCAAAAGTACAAGCTCACAAGTAGTGAGTGGGATGTGCTCGGTGTGTTCTGCAAGGTCCTCAGGGTGTGTTATCAGAACTTGGGTTTTGCACATTGTCTCATCATCATTCTATAGGTCCCACATGGTTTTCAACAAAGGTTGTCTGCTGAAAAAACTCCAACATTATGCAATGCTATTCCAGCATTCGAGGCTATGGTGCAAATATGGAGTAAGCAGTTAGACAATGACCCCAATCTCACTACCACGATTCAACCAGGGCTTGATAAACTTAATGATTATCAGTCACACATTTCTGATGTTCCTGCATATGCTCTTACTATGAGTCAGTGTCAATGTTCTCTTATATTTATAGGATTCCTGATGTGTTCCTGCCAGTGGTTAATCCCATGACAAAAATTAACTGGTTTTTGTCACATGCCCCTGAAAAGGTACAGTGAGCAAAAAATTTACTGTTATCTGAGGTGATAATGCTCTGCTTGTATCATTAGTTGCACTTGCTGACTGACTAAATAGCTTCGCACTTATCAATGCATGCCCAATTCAAATGTGGCTATCGTTGAGACAGTCTCAGATGAGTCAGAAGATACTTGGGCCAAAACCATACTCAGCATAGTCACAACTCATCAACAACCTTTGGCTGCTCAACATAGCTTGCAAGACGAGGTTGATGCCTATCTACTTGACTCCCAGATTAGCAACTTGAACAGTCCTTTGGTTTATTGGAATGTACGTGGAATATTATATTGAAAAATTGTGTACCACTAATAACCTAGGCTTACTAGGACAATCGGCTTCGATATCCAATACTCTTTTCTCTTGCCATGGATATTCTTCCTGTGTAGGGCTCTGCTGTGCCTTGTAAACAGGTTTTTTCTTCCAGTAAAGAGATTATTACCATGTGTCGGAACCATTTAAGTCCTGAGCTTATGGAAGCACTTCAGATTCTCAAGTTTTTAATTTGACATAGATGCGGTGTAGAAACAACAATACTGAGAGGAACAAATGATGCTCCTGACTGTATCTGTAAATAGTTGTAAGGTCGTGTGTTGCCTAGTCTGCGTTACTTGAGGAGACAAGTGCATTCGACCCTAAAGGGGAAGCGAGAAAGCACAGGTGCACGTGAGGAGCAGGAAAGCGCATGCGCACATGTGGAAATGATAGAGAGACTAAGCTTAAGTGATAATATAAGTGAAGAGAGGTGCAAAGTGTAGACAAATAGATTTCAACTATGTTCTTCTAGGTAGATAGTGGGTGGAAATTAAAGTAAAATGGAAAGTTCAGTAAGGTAAAAAGGTGGTTGGAAAGTAAGTAAGTAATAGTATGTACTGCTGGCGCTTATATAGGCGCCTAAGCGCTGTCATGCGGAGCCGAAGCGCTACTGAGTAGGTATGTAAAGATATATATAAGTGAGAATCCATGATAAAAATAAAGGTGGAACAATATGCTAATAAAGGAAATGGAAATATATGCACTAGGGAGCTTGGTGGACAGTGGATGGATGCTTCTGGATGGCTGGCGCTATAGGGCGCTCAAGCGCGGGAACGCGCATGTGCATATACATTGTGAAGCATGGGAATGGTGCGCGTTGCACGGGAAAGCTGTGCCTCATAGTGGAATACCTGCGGATAGCACACAGAGTGATGCTGCAAGTTCGTGCTATGTACTCCCTAGTGAAAAGTGCCATATCACACCATGAGAGGCATGAGTCTCTACAGTGGACTGAATTTTTCAGAAGGAATAGATCATGCAACAGTGTTGCAGGAGATGGAGATGATGACAAGTGATGCAACTTTGATTCCAGAAGACATTACTGCCTTTATTGATAGCTTGGTAGTGAACGAGGACTTGTACAACAATGATTAATCCTAATATGGTATTGAGCCATTGGCTAATTGGCTGGTTATTCTATAACTACACCAAGCCAGTCCAAGCAAAGCTGGTTCAGACTGGGTCTGAAATTTTGTAAGGGTAAAACTGGACATAGCCAGACCAAACTGAACTGAGCCGAACCATTGGCAGCACTAACTAAGGACTTGTGCAGTCAACACTAATGTTGATTACCTAAACTGGCATTACCGGCATCTGTCAAATTTCAAACTCCTCACTTTGCCTGCCAAACTTCTCTGAGATTGACCAGTCTGACTATGTCAAGCATGTTGGAAATATGGTCAGTGTTGTAACAACAACTAAATTAATGGTAGTCTACCTGTTGGAAATATGCTAAGGTAGTTCAATGTAAGTATGAAGCTATGCACAAGAAAAATGGGAACACGTACCTCAGTGTTGTGAAACAACAACTGAGGTACTCAAACAAGAACAAGGAAAGTACTTCTGTTAGAATGAAAGATGAAGATTGAATGTGAAGTGGCGAGGTTGTGCTGAATGTCCAAATGACTATGTTAATCTGCCCCAATGGGCACCAATATCCCAACATGGATCCTTCCAAACATGATCTTCCAATGTACCATGTGATACTCTGGACCGACTCTTCCAACAGACCCCCTCAGCCTGCCACTACTACGTATACCTCCAACACACCCTCTCAACCTGCCACGAGTGATAGACTGGAGTGGTGAATAGCGAATGTGTGACATGGAGGAGCTTTGGTGAATATGTCTGCACTATCACAGTGAGTGGACACCCATATGGGCAGAAAAGTGCTGGCTTTGATGTGCCCTTGGATAAAATGATATTGTAGGTCAATATGTTTTGTATGAGTGTGATTAGCTGCCTCTTTGGACAGTGCAATGGCACTGGTATTGTCAGCATAGAGGTTGAGTGGGAGGGCAAGTGGAATCTTCAAGCATTCACAGAAGGACTTGATTCAAAGCCTGTCCTGGATGGCACCCATTAGTGCCATATACTCTGACTCCACCGATGACAATGCCTGAGTCATTTACTTCTTCACCGCATGTAGATGAGACTGCCATAGAAGTACCAGACATAGCCGGTGATAGAAATGCAGTCCTCTGGAGATGTGGCCCAATCTGCATCACTGAACCCATGGACAGTGGTGCCAGCATTTGCGCCTCCATAGTGCACATGGTAAGAGAGAGTGCCAGCGAGGTAGTGAAGGATACACTTTGCTGCGGTGTAGTGACACAATTCAGGACTGGTGTTGTGCTGAGAGAGTTTCATGATGGTGAGGGCAATGTCAGGATGTGTGTACATTGTGAGGTAGAGGAGTTCCCCAATTAGCTTGTGATACTCCCTCTCAAGATTGTTGACATCAGGGTGTGCATCTGTGTCATGCCCGAAAGGGAAGGATAAATCCATTGGAAGAGAAACCGGATTACATTCACAAAGACCATGCTCTTTGAGAAGATATACTATATATTCCTGCTGATGCATCCAGAGCTCTTGTGTGGCACAGGAACAAACATATTGAATACACAGATGTTTGATGACTGGACCCAAGTCTGTGATTCTGAAGTGCTCTGAAATATGGCCTTTGATCCAGTCGAGGAACTTTCAGCTGTTGCTGCCTGCAAGGCCATTGTCTACATGCCATGTGATGATGCAGATCACATGCACCCCCTTGTTGGTGACATGATGATAAATAAAGACAGCATAATCAGCTTCACAACAAGTGAATCCCAAATGGACAAGGACTGCCCGCAGCAGCTCATATCAATCGTACGTGGCCTGCTTCAGTCTGTAGAGTGAGGATAGTAGATGACACACCAGACTTGCTCTGTCATGGCCAAGATGCTTGAAACTAGGCAGTTGACAGAGCCCCTTCAGTGACAAATTCCGTATTATACGGGCCACCCGACCTCCATAATATCCCGTATGAGACGGGCCAGCTGATCATGGGCCCATGTTGTGTATATTCTCGATGATGACGGATGGGCCGGGACACATATTATTTCCGATGGAGACGGGTGGGCCCATGTATGCCAATGATATATATATCCTTAATGTTGACGGATGGGCCGGGGGAATATGATCATTCATGGAGATGGGTGGGCCCATCTGGGTAATATGTAGAGTAGGATATTATAGACAGCTGGGCTGAAGAGAGATGTAAGGCAAATATTGTTATATAGACGGGCAGGCCGACGTGGGTGTATTACATATATGGGTGGGCCGAGGTAGGGAAATATTACATAGACGGGTGGGCTGACGTAGGGTGTATTACATATACAGGTGGGCCGACGTGGAATGTATTACATATACAGGTGGGCCGACGAAAGGGATATCAAATAGACCGGTGGGCTGAGGGTGCGATAAAATATTTATTACATAGACAGGTGGGCCGAGGTGGGGTATAATTATATAGACGGGTGGGCCGATGTAGGATGTATTATATAGACGGGTGGGCCAACATAGGATGTATTACATAGATGGGTTGGCTGACGTGGGGGATAATACATAGATGGGCAGGCCGACGGGGGTGTATTACATATATGGGTGAGCCTAGATATGTTCCATCAAGACATACAGCTGATGTAGCCACCAGCGAATCAAACACATAGGATACATGTACACTATGAGTGCATATACCTACCATCAACCACCAAATCTAAACCCCTAAGCACAAAAACATGAATCGATCATGTGTGGCATTGACCAATAATCCAGGACTGAAGTGGAAAAACCCCACACCTGAACCCTGGTGTGCAACAAATCCTATTTCTAAGCATGGACACCAGAAGCACAACACTCACAAAAATATATATGTCAAATTTTCAGTGCCAAACCCCAAACCGAGATGTACCAACCCCCGAACCCCGAAACCCGAAACCTGAGACTGCCGGGTCTCAGGTATCGGGTGTCCGGAACTCGGAACTTGGGAGAATTTGGGGAGATCAATACAATTTAATTTACAATCGAGTTGATTGACAACACATTGACTTACCCATGTTTGCAATATATTTTTGTTTAGACATACCGAGTTCCGAGTTCCAGACACCCGAACCCCGAAACCCGAGACTGCCAGGTTTCAGGTGTCGGGTGTCCGGAACTCGGAACTTGGGAAAATTTGGGGAGATCAATACAATTTGATTCACAATCAAGTTGATTGACAAACACATTGACTTAACTATGTTTGCAATATATTTTTGTTTAGACATACCGAGTTCCGGGCCCCCGAACCCCGAAACCCGAGACTGCCGGGTCTCGGGGTTCGGGGGTCCGGAACTCAGAACTCGGTATGTAGAACAAAAATATATTTTAAACATGGGTAAATCAAATTTTATTGATCTCCCCAAATTTCCCGAGTTCCGAGTTCCAGGACCCCCGAACCCCGAGACCTGGCAGTCCACAATTTCGGGGTTCAGGGGTTGGTAAAATGTGTATGGATATATGAAAGGTTGATTGAA